CTATTCACATAATTCAAACTCAATCTTAAAATGATTCTTCCCTTTTTGGAATTTCTTTTCTACTAAGTGAATCTTATAAGTTAGACTTCACTTAATTGTTTTTCTCTTTCCTGAACCCTTATTTTTTTAATACTGCAGCAACCTAAAGGTTGAAGAAGGACAACTTTCAATGAATGAATCTGAGCCATAATTGTGCAGAGAAGATGCACTTTTAACCCTCCATAGATGCCAGAATTATCCCAGTTATGAGATAGGAGGAAGCAGAGATGAAACTCAGCTGCCTTTACTTTTTATTTTGCAAAACATGAGAAAGGAAGGCATAGGTAAGGGGAATAAAGAACAAGGAGATCTGTATTTTATATAGAAAGAACAAAAATAAAGAGCTAAAAATAATGCTTAAGAGAAAGGGGGAGAAGTCATTCAGATAATCTCTCGAATGCAAGTAAAACACTCAAACTAAGTTATTCATATACTTGAGTCTGATCCTTCTTTAAGAAGCAGCAGATCTGTCTTTTACATTACATTGGCATCAAAAGCTGAATGCACTATCCTAGATAATCTCTTTTCTTCTGAATAGGGTGAGCATTCTCATCTGTGTGTATTCTGTTACAAGAAGTACTATCAAGAACATCTTGTCAATAATTGTCAATAATTTCAACAGAAAACGATAACAAGAGTTTTAGCTGGACATTATGACTATCTGCTCCTGGATTTGATATCCAGAAATTTTGCTTGCTTTTACTTTTTAACTACCCAGAATTTATGCATACATGTCCTCGGTATCCATGGGCCGTGTGCAATAGATACTGACATTATTAGAGGCAGAGTTCAGAATTAGAAGGTTTGATTTTACCCAAGTAAAAACTTGTGGGAAAGTCAATATTTAAATATCTTGTCAGCTATGTGCTTATAATATCTGGTATGTTCTTACTGTAATTCCCTAAAAATAAATATTAAAAACATTTTGTGGTTTCACACCATAAAAAAAAAAAAAAGGAAAGTTGGTAAGGGTAAACCATAAAACATATAGTTGGCTTACAAAAGAAATGTTTATTCTCCTCAGAATGCCAGTGGTTGAGCATTTTCTTGAGATTTGAGGCTGGATAAATATGTGTAACAGAGGTTCCTTAAATATGTCACTGCAGTAGTCGTTCAAGATGTGGCACAGCCAGCTAACTCTGAGAAACCCACATGTGGCACACTGTACTTTCTCGACTTGGCTGATACTGTGCATTTTAATAGAGTAAATGTAATTAAAGTCATGTCTGAAACCAATGTGATGATTTTAATATACTTTATGATGTATAGGTAGAGTGTATGTTCTGTCAGATGCAGTATATATTGTATTTAGTGTGGGATAGGTTCTTAGTAGTTCTTGCTTTTGTCAGACTTAACAGTTTGGCAGAGCTCATATTAGCTGTTGGAATGACAGTATTGCAAGTTGTAATATACTGTAAATAGTATTAAGTCTTTGTCACTGTCATTATCGCAGCAGATTATTAAATGCTGTATTTTGAATGTATCTTGGAAAAAATCTGTGACTCTAAATGCCTCTGCTCCATTTTGCAGGCTAGTGAGTTTTTAAGCAGAAGTTGGAGAGCAGCCTCTTTGGATGGAATTTGAGAGTTGCAAGGAATAGAAACTCCCATCTACTCTTTTTCTTTTTCCATCACATTTTTTCTATCATCTCCTGATCAATGTTTAGAGGAATAAAACGTCCCTTAACGTTATTTTTTCTCAGGAATATTTTATAAAGTCTTATAGAAACACATTATATTGACTTCTCCAGTTAGTTGAAACTGCGTAGCTGTTTTAAAAGTACATCAGGAAAGCAATGATAGCATGAGCAAAATAAATATTAAATCAGAGGGACAACTCTGACTTCCCCTAAGTAACCATGTAATCCTTTTTTTCTTTTGGTAACGTATTTTCCACAAAGAAGACCCTTCAAGGTTGAATCCTGTACAGTCTCATTTCTTTTGCTTGTCCTTTTTTTTTTTTTTTTCACGTAGGGCAAATCAAATGCTTGACGACGTTTTTTGTTAGGAAAGCATATAAAAAAATTTTTGAATATACCAATAACTGAAAAAGTATATATATTTTTATTACAACAGGGAGATTTCATTGGTTGAGTGAAATGGCGAGATGTGACGCAAAAGGACACTTGGACGGGTAGAAATGCTGATGTATGCCAAAGCAGGCGTACCAAGAAATGCTGTTGCTATGAGAGAAACGGAGGGAGAGAGAGAGATTGTGAGAGAGCAAGTTGTGGAGGCCTTATTTTCTCCTTTTTGGCTTACACCATGGAGACTGCAGCATCTCTAGTTTTTAGCAGGGAGGGCTTTAGAAGCTCTAGAGGAGCATTTTAGTGACACCAAGCATTTGGAGGAAGGGGGAAGAAAACAAAAAGAGAGATGCAGGTTACCTCAGAGTACAAAAGCAACTGGAGAGTAGAAGGAGGCTGTGTATACTAAGCCAACGATCTGTGCTGTGATAGATACACAAATTAGTACAACAGAGGAAGCAGCTTAGCTCATTATCCACCTGATGGTAGTAAGCCTTCCCATTTAAAATCACAACATTAAAATGCATACAGATACACACACAGACAGATACACACGTATTTGTAATAACCCCACCTTTTAAGCTTATGAATTATCCAGCTGGGATACCGGCGTCTCTTGTGTAACATTCTCGAGGAGCTGCAAATAAATTCACCTTATGAGTCCATTAGCCAGAAAAGGGGGAAAATAATTTGCAGGAAATTTTTTTTGTCTCTCTTCTTCGGCAAGGGGGAAAAAAGTTTGTGCTATGAACTTAGCCTAGCAGCTTCTGGAACTTGAGCCAAAAGGGGCAGGAAGTTGTTTTACAATAGCGTTACAGTGATCTGCCACAAATGGAAAAAGCCAAATGTTGGACTCTGCAAAAAGAAAAAATATTCTTCTCCCTCTCGTTTCCCTTCTCTTGCCCCTTAAAAAGAAAAAAGAAAAAAAAAGGAAAGTTTAGCTAAAAGTTCTTTTTTAATTGCTTTCTCTAAGTAATGGAAAGATTATCTTACTTGCATATTCCATGGCAAGCATGAGGGAAAGAAGTATCAAAGGGACGTTTAAAAAAATGCACTTGGTAACTAGCAACGGGACTTTTGGCACAATTCCTTGAGTTTGCTTGAGGTTATGGAGGGGGGATGGGAAGAAGAAAAGCAAGTCTACGCAGTACGTTTTCTTTAAAAAAAGGGGAGGGGGAACGGAGGAAAAACCATATAAAACTTTTTTTTTTTTTAAAGGAAATGTGTGTTGATCCTCTGAAGCTGAATCCTCAGGCATTTGTGGCCCGTCTTTGCTGTCCGATGTGTTTTTTTGTGAGTGTGTGTAAGCGCTCTCAATCAAACAGCAATCATGGCAGCTGTTTTTCTTCCAGCACAGCAGTTGAGCTGTCTCGCCCAAATGCTTATCAGCTTTTGACTCTGTGCCAAGATAGTTATAAGGGCCAAGCAGCCCGAGCTTGGCTGCGCAGCTGGTTTAGAAGTAAGGGCATGAGAAAACAAAATCACCAAGTTTTTTTGTCACATACAGTATTTACTTTTCCAAATCTCCATTCGCAGCTCTGTGGCTTTTTGTGTGCTGCAGTTTCACGGTCCTTACGGACTGCTTTGCTACAGAGAGACGCGTAGATGGGTATAAATATAACGAGGCGCCCTCGCCTCTCTGTTTTAATCCCGGAAGATGTTTCCTTAGGACCTCCCCCCCCC